CCGCTCCGCGCGAGGCCGTGGCGCGGGCGGGCGTGCTGGGCGGCACGCGCGTCGTGAGCATCGTGGTGTGCGATCAGTAGGCGGGGCGCGCGCCCCCGCCCGGCGGCGCCGGCATGCATGCGGCGCCCGCCGGCGTCGGCCGTGGGTGCCCCATGCAGCAGGCAGGCGGCGCGGTGGCGCACTAGGCTGTGCATTTTTCCTTCTGGCATGCGGCTGTGTGGGATCCGGACACGCTGGGGACTGTAAAGCTGGGGCTTCTCGGTGGCGTTGCTCGGGCAGTGGCCGCCGAGGCAGAGGCCGCCGAGGCAACAGGGGCGGCAGAGTTTCGTCATTCGGGCGCTTGCCCAGTTCTTAAACTTCCCCAAAGAACGGACTCGATTCAGCGCCTTGGTCCAGCTTGGTCCAGCAGCCCCGCAGCAGCTGCTCGGCAGCCGATCTTTTGCGTCGCTGCCGCCCAGCTGCCGCCCGCGCTCCACAAGCCCGTCGCCGCCCACCAGGCCGGGCAAACTCGAATTCCCTGTCACCTTGGCGCTCACATACACGCCCTACCGTGTTCCCTAGCCGCAGCGCCTGGGTGCGTGGCGGGAGCGCGGGAAAAGGGCCTCGTGCCGGGCAGAGCCGCGCCGCCCTCCGCGCGCCTTGTGCAAGCGCGCAGAAGCGGTGAGCAACGTGTGGTGCCGCGGACTGGGGTGCACTGACGAACCTGGTGCAGCACACGGCCGGTCGCCGCTGCTTGCAGCGCCGCCGTCGAACGCTGCTGCACTACTGCTGCCCTGCTTCCGAATGCCGAACGTGCCATGCACACCTGCCTCCCCAACACATGCAGGTGCAGCGCCATGCCGCCCGCAACGCATGCAGCGGCCCTGCCGCACGATCTGCTGGCCCGCATCTGCTCCATCCTGCCGCCCGGGGACGCGGTCCTGACGGTGCCCCGCCTGAACAAGGCGCTGGCAGCGGCGGCGGCGCCACGCGTTGCGGAGCTGCGAGCAGAGGGGCTGAACGTGCAGGAGACGATGCAGGACGATGAGTACTGGTTCAGCACGTGGGTGGAGCTCTTCTCCATCCCGCTGTGGGCGCTGCAGGAGGCGTGGCCGCAGCTTTTGGGGCAGCAGCGAATGCGCGCGGCTGCGCGCGCCGCCCTCCACGGCGACTCGGCCGCGCTGAGGTGGGCGCTGCCGCAGCTGGACGGCGCTGACACATTGTACTGCGACGCAGCGGCGGCTGGCGGCCAGCTCGAGGCGCTGCAGTGCGCACTGACGCTGGGCTGCCCCTGGGGCGAGGGGACGTGCCGCTACGCAGCTCGTGGCGGCCACCTGGCTGTGCTGCAGTGGGCGCGCGCCCAGGAACCACCCTGCCCCTGGGACGAGTGGACTTGCAGCTACGCGGCCCGCGGCGGCCACCTGGCCGTGCTGCAGTGGGCGCGCGCCCAGGAACCGCCCTGCCCATGGGATGAGGGGACTTGCAGCGAAGCAGCCGAGGACAGCCACCTGGCCGTGCTGCAGTGGGCGCGCGCCCAGGAGCCGCCTTGCCCCTGGAACGGGGGAACGTGCAGCGCAGCAGCCGAGGGCGGCCACTTGGCAGTGCTGCAATGGGCGCGCGCCCAGGAGCCGCCTTGCCCCTGGAACGGGGGGACGTGCAGCGCAGCGGCCCACGGCGGCCACCTGGCCGTGCTGCAGTGGGCGCGCGGCCAGGAGCCGCCCTGCCCCTGGAACGGGGGGACGTGCAGCGCAGCAGCCGAGGGCGGCCACTTGGCAGTGCTGCAATGGGCGCGCGCCCAGGAGCCGCCCTGCCCCTGGGACGAGAAGACGTGCGGCGCAGCTGCCGAGGGCAGCCACCTGGCCGTGCTGCAGTGGGCGCGCGGCCAGGAACCGCATTGCCCATGGGACGAGGAGTCGTGCAGGGCAGCGGCACGCGGCGGCCACCTGGCCGTGCTGCAGTGGGCGCGCGCCCAGCAACCGCCCTGCCCCTGGGACAAAGCGACGTGCAGCGCAGCTGCCGAGGGCGGCCACCTGGCCGTGCTGCAGTGGGCGCGCGCCCAGCAACCGCCCTGCCCCTGGGACGAAGCGACGTGCAGCGCAGCTGCCGAGGGCGGCCACTTCGCAGTGCTGCAGTGGGCGCGCGCCCAGGAGCCGCCCTGCCCGTGGGACAAGGAGACGTGCGGCGCAGCGAGCCGCGGCGGCCACCTGGCTGTGTTGCAGTGGGCGCGTGCTCAGGAGCCGCCTTGCCCCTTGCACGGGTGGATTTGCATCTACGCCGCCCGCCGCGGCCACCTGGCCGTGCTGCAGTGGGCGCGCGCCCAGGAGCCACCCTTATTCTGGAACGAGAGGGCGTTCAACGCAGCGGCCGATAGCGGCCACCTGGCCGTACTGCAGTGGGCGCGCGCCCAGGAGCCGCCTTGCTCCTGGAGCGAGGAGACGTGCAGCACAGCAGCCGGTGAGGGCCGTCTGGCCGTGCTGCAGTGGGCGCGCGCCCAAGAGCCGCCCTGCCCCTGGGATGAGGCGACTTGCAGCTCAGCGGCCTATGGCGGCCGCTTGGCCGTGCTGCAGTGGGCGCGCGGCCAGGAGCCGCCCTGCCCCTGGAACGAGGCGACTTGCAGCTCAGCGGCCTATGGCGGCCGCTTGGCCGTGCTGCAGTGGGCGCGCGCCCAGGAGCCGCCCTGCCCCTGGGACAGGTGGACGTGCCGTGAGGCCGTTGAGGGCGGCCACCTGGCCGTGCTGCAGTGGGCGCGCGCCCAGGAGCCGCCCTGCCCATGGAATGTGCACGAGTGCTTCGAATTGGCGGATGGTGCCGCTGCTGAGTGGATCCTTGCGCAAGCGGCACTCGAGGGCGTGGCGCTTTGAGGTCTGACCGACTGCGGCAAAGCACGCGCTGCTTTTTTCATGCAGCAGGCAGGCAGCGCGGTGGCGCACTAGGCAGTGCATTTTTCCTTCTAGCAGGCGGCTGTGCGGGATCCGGACACGCTGGGGACTGTAAATGTGGGGCTTCTCGGTGGCGGTGCGCGGGCAGAGGCCGCCGAGGCAACAGGGGCGGCAAAGCGGACTCCAGCCGGCGCAGCCGCAACCGGCCAAAAGCTGTCGGGTGACACAGGGTGGCGCAGACGCAAGGGCGGTCTCAAGCGCGTTATATGATGCCGGTGGCTGCTCGGCGGCCTGCGCTTGTTTGCAGCGGCGCGCGCGGGGCTAGTGACGGCGCCGCCGCCGCTGCCCTGGCACGCGCACCGCAGCCGGCACCGCCGAGGCTTCGGACACCGTTGCCTCCGCTTGCACCTGCACTGCCACCCCCGCCATCGCCGCCGCCGCTGCTACATACGAGTCATGTTGCTGCTGCTGGCGCGGATGCTTGCACTTGCGCCGCCGCCGCCTCCGCCGCTGCTGCTGAGCCCAGGTCGCGCCTTGACGAACGGCGTCTGGCCCTCTGGCAGCAGGTGGGCCACCCCTAATGCGGGGTTGGGCGCCACCGCCTTTAGCTCCACGCCGGCCCTCGAGGCGCGCGCCCAGGAGCTGCCCTGCCCATGGGATGTGCACGCGTGCTTGGACTTGGCGGCAGGTGGCGCCACTGCCGAGTGCATTTGTGTGTAGACGGCACTCGAGGGCGTGGCGCTTTGACGTCTCACCGACTGCGGCAAAGCCTGCGTGTTTTTTTCGCCGACGATGCGGCCCACCCACTCGCCACACCCTTGCAACCAGCTGTCTGCCCTGACAGCTGCATGAAGTGCAAAGCAACCTCTTGACATTCCCCCATTGGCGGCGCATCCAAAAGCGGCTGCATGAGAGTGTAAGCCAAGGTGCCGCGTGCCAGTCTGTGAGGGTCAACTGTGCGCTGTTCTGGTTCTGGGGCGTCTTGGAGTTGGCTGGGTGGGTGTGCGGGCCAGGCGCGCATTGGCAAATCATATGCATGCTGGGATTGAACCCACAATTGAAGCTTTAGGTGGGGGGCATCCTAGAGTGGGCTGGGCTGCCAGCTGAAAGCAGAGGGCGTGCGGCGGCGGCAGCTGCAAGCCCGCGTCGCATCAATCGGCGCGCCGGCCGGCGAGCCCCGCCTTTTTTTCGGGCAGGCGCATTGTTGTTCCTGCAACAAAATTGCATGCTCGCTGCTGGGCGCCGCACACTGAGGCCCCCCTTGCCTGCCAGATGCGCACCAAACGCACTTCCGGCTTGCAATATGATTGCCTTGCCCCCTCCCAGCCTCTGGGGATTAGTAACACAAACTTGCGACGCCTGACGGCGGCGGCGGCGTCCGCCTAGAGGGAGTCGGCGGCAGGTTTTAGGGTTAAGGATTGAACCCTAAACCCTAAACCCTAAACTCTAAACCCTAAACCCTAAACCCTAAACCCTAAACCCTAAACCCTAAACCCTAGCCGTAAATAACGTAAAACCCTAACCCGGGTGCGTGGCCAGCGGCGGCAGCCGCCCATTCAGCGGGCGGCGCAGGCGCCCGGCGGCCGGTGGCGGCGGCAGCCGCCCCTAGTGGGCGGCGCAGCCGCCCACGGCAGGTGGCGGCGGCAGCCGCCGCCTGTGGGCGGCGCAGCCGCCCGCAGCAAGTGGCGGCGGCAGCAGCCGCCCACGGGGCGGCGCAGCCGCCCAGTGGCCATTGGCTGCCCACGGGGCGGCGCAGCCGCCCAGCGGCAAGTGGCGGCGGCAGCCGCTGCCTGTGGGCGGCGCAGCCGCCCAGCGGCAGGTGGCGGCGGCAGCCGCCGCCTGTGGGCGGCGCAGCCGCCCGCAGCAAGTGGCGGCGGCAGCAGCCGCCCACGGGGCGGCGCAGCCGCCCAGTGGCCATTGGCTGCCCACGGGGCGGCGCAGCCGCCCAGCGGCAAGTGGCGGCGGCAGCCGCTGCCTGTGGGCGGCGCAGCCGCCCAGCGGCAGGTGGCGGCGGCAGCCGCCGCCTGTGGGCGGCGCAGCCGCCCGCAGCAAGTGGCGGCGGCAGCAGCCGCCCACGGGGCGGCGCAGCCGCCCAGTGGCCATTGGCTGCCTCCCAGAGGCAGCAAAAAAAGAAAAAAGTACCTCCACCTACCGGGCTCGAACCGGTGACCTCGCGATTAACAGTCGCACGCTCTAACCAGCTGAGCTAAGGCGGACGCTGACATGCTCTGCCCCTCCCTCACAGCAATAGGGAGGCCAAACGGGCGCGGCCGGGCGCCGCCGGCGCATCACTCAACCGTCGCACGCTCTAACCAGCTGAGCTAAGGCGGACGCTGACATGCTCTGCCCCTCCCTCACAGCAATAGGGAGGCCAAACGGGCGCGGCCGGGCGCCGCCGGCGCATCACTCAACCGTCGCACGCTCTAACCAGCTGAGCTAAGGCGGACGCTGACATGCTCTGCCCCTCCCTCACAGCAATAGGGAGGCCAAACGGG